TTTGGTATGAAATCGTACTTTTTGGTATGGCTGTCTCTAACTACTTCATACAAGCGCGTATATTTTGGTAAGTAAAACCTATAATGTTACTGGTGAAACTCGTAGAATTCATCATTTTTATGCCAGGGGGGGATAGTCACTCCCCTACTCTTGCCTGATTAGGCATCAGACCTACGATGCTTCTCGGACTCCTTGAACTCTTCATACGTCGCACACAGCCCTTTACTCTCGAACTCCTTGATGACCTTTTTCAGCTTGGCAAGTTCCTCGTCTCGCACGGTTTGAGCTTTCTCTTGTTTTGCTTGAAAGTTTGCTGCAAGGAGAGAAACCGATGCGAGGTGCTTTTCCACTGGTTTGCGGTACATACGCAACTGATCTTGGAGATGGCTAAACTTGATTTCACCTTCTTCTTTGTCCCGTCGGGCCCTACGAATTCGATTCTCACGTTCGTATGCTGCATCTGATAGGCCGTCCGTAACGTCTTCTGTAAGCCGGCCGTGTCCGCTTCGAGTTGGGTCTTCAATTGATTGAACGCAGTTACCGTTTCAAGCTTGAAGTCGTAAATCTCTTACGTCGAACTACTGAAGTCGCATGCCGCCGAAGGAATCTTCTCAGGATGAAGCGTGAACATTATCGCCTTGTAGAACTTGGGTCACTCCACGTGAGCATGTCCGATCTTGTACAACTTCTTGCACCGCTCCCGAAGAGTATTAAGGCAGATCGCAAAGAGATTCGAATCCATACTAATACCGTGAAGAAGGCTCGTTTTTGGCGCAGGGGTCCATTGCTTCACTTTTATGAGATCAACATCGAGGGGCTTATTGCTCAGCGTGACTAGCTGTTCTCTGGCAACTGCAATATTTATATTAGAACTTAACAAAAATATAATAAAATACAAAAAAATTAAAAAGTACCCTCGAGACGACGAAACCGGTTGAACGTCCTCTGCTCGAAGCGCTTGTTCAGGATTTTGTCCTTTGTGCGCTTGTAAGACGCACGGTTGATGACCTTGCGCGTCTTTGGTGCCTTCTTTTTGCCGCACACCTTTCGGTGCTTGGCCATGTTCGACTTAGACACTAGCTTACCGCACGAGGCGCACTCGCCCTTCGGTGCCTTGGTGGCGTCTCCTTTCATTCAGATATTTTTTTACGACTGAATGATCGACGTAGAAACGTGTCTGATTGGATACATTTTTACAGGACGCTGATTGGCTGATATATGCTTTTTTGCTTTGATTGGTCAATAAAAATGTTGTTTCAATGTTGTTTCGGGGAAAGAAGTAATTTTAATCCGTGTGAATATTGCCCGAACAGACTTCAGCTTATGCCAGATGCCTATCACCAATATCCTTATTGTGCGACTCACACACTACCTTTGACAGTACTGTTAGAACAACGCATCAGTTGCATGGATATACTGTTGTGTCAAGCTACCGCCGTCCAGCTGGACATCGACGCGCTGCACGTCGTCGGCAGCTCTCCAGCCATGGTTGGCGTAGCTCTCGTCGGCAAGGCCAGCACCAGCAGTGAGGCCAGACTCGACAAGTGATGTCTGCTTATGCTGGAAAAAATCTGCATACTTTCCCTAGGGGCGCGCAAGGAGCGTCGTCATGGGCTGCATAGGGAGCTAGCACGAAAAGCAGTTAGGCTAGCTCAGTTTAATTCTCATTAATCAATTTACTTTGCAAGTCAAACCCCGGGTCTCACTATGGGGAATCGGATTGTGAAACAACCACCCTGCACGAAGGCAAGAGCAATGTAAAATCCAGAACTTCTACGTGTAAAACACGTCTTGTCAAGGATTATTCGCCGCGCTTAAGTACCAATCCAGGTCTTAATTTACTTGAGTCGATAGTCCAGTCCGAGTCAAGTAAGGTCAATTGTTTAATGTACGCTCTGTGAAATAACGTTGCGTGAATGTTGTTTGAGTGCTGCGCGACGGGTGTATGCCCCCCCC